GTACAATATTTCTTTTATTTTTGTGTTTCCTTTTTCGTAGTTCTCGAAGTAAAATTGAGTACTCGCCTCTTAGCTGATTTACGTGTCTTATCCCGTCGTCGTTATAAACACCTAGTTCTTTAGCCATTTGTAGTTGTAACTGAATATCTTTCATTTTCTTCATAATCTAATACATATATAAAGATATATATATATATATATTTCAATTATTCTCAATAACAATAAGGCATTTTATCATTTACCCCTTCAACATCTATAGACGATAAATCCTTAAAATTATTCGATATTAAAAAGCTGCTCTTTAAATCCTTTGGTATTCGCCTGTATCTTAACAGCTCGTACATCTGGTCAATTTGACGTTTTATGTTGAGCAATAAAGTTTCACCAAACCCTTCGCCAATCGCACTGTCCGCACTAACGCTAATAAATATATCATCGGTGTATGTAAATACTGACACTGAAACACCGATAGATTTTTGAGAYGGCAGTACAGAGTAAACTGTTTTTAATGGAGATCCTTTGATTATTATTCTTGACCTTGGACCAGATACCCAACTAAATTGTAGGCAAGCCTAAAAAAATAATTTATTGGTTTTTAATTTCTATATAGCACATTTGAACATTCATAGAATCTTTATACTTAAAATATTATGCTTATACCAAATTGTCCGTGAGCCCAGATAACAGTGTTCTGGTTCCCGAAGAATGGAGTGGCATTAATAAAGAAACTATTRCTGGCAATAAAGCTTGGTCCGATTGATACATATTTTGCATCGCTTTCTTGGTAAACCACAATCTTGGGATGGCGCCTTCAACGCCTATTGGTAAACGAATGAGAACTGGTGACGAGTGGTCAGTATTCCCGGATTGTACAGGGTAAACAATCTATAAAGGAAAAACAAATCAACTTTAAATAGCAATAGTTAAGTTTAATGGTAAATATTGCAATACATTCATGTTGTCCAATTTTTGCTGTCCAATAACTTTCATCATAACATGCAACGATCCAGCAATTGCAGACAAAACCACATCACTGTTTGGAGTTTTAGTCACTTGATTAATTCGGTTTACTTTGGATAAAGCCCCTTGAAAACAAGACCAACTTATGTTATAGTTTAACGATAGGGGATCCGGAGTCACTATATTGTCATCATTGATTGGGGTAATCATTTTCCATAATATTTCTGCAGGTCCAGTCATCACAGTTCTCGCTACGCTTGTCAAATATCGCATTTTTGTTGGATTCTGAAATGTAATTGTCTATATTTTAATCTCTACTTTCAAATTACTGAAGTAGAAATATTAAGTTTTTACTTCTGAAGTATGGTAGTATGGTTTTGTATCTGACAAACAAGTGCATAATAATTTAGCCAAAGATATCCAATCTGCTAGACATCGGTGAGCAAGAAATACAA